TTTAAAAAAAACTCTTTGCCGAGTGCCACAGCTCCGGCACTCGGTAAAGAAATCTGTTTTTTAAACCTCTTTGCCGAGTGCCATAGCACAGGCACTCAGCAAAGGGTGTTTTTATTTTTTTTTAAATTTTCTTTGCCGAGTGCAATGACCATTGCACTCGAAAAGCATGTTTTTTATTTTTTTTTAAATTTTCTTTGCTGAGTGCAATGGTCATTGCACTCGGCAAAGCCACCTCTAAATTTCTTTTTTTTGTTTTTTGCTTTTCCATTTAAACAACAATGCATATATATATAATAGAAACCACAATTCAACAACAATAAATTACAAACCACATTTATATATTACAAACGACCAAATTTGTCCGAAATCCACAATTTATTACAAACCACAAGTTCATAGTCCACAAGTTCACAAGTTCGATACATAGAAACTACTCCGCAAGCGGCTCACGGTGACTGCGCCCCAGCGTGCGATCCCGGCGACGGTCCGGGTGCGGATGGCCCGACTTGCGATGCCGGCGACCCTCCGACCTGGTTCGATGCCGCCCCCGATGTCCGCTGCACAAAAAAGAAGATATTGCACGTGAGTGACAAGATAAAAATGTAAGGAGTTTAAAGAAAAGTTGAAAATTTCGGCAGCACCTCCCCTGCGCGGGGATGTTTCCAAAACCTGCAAGAAAAACGTCGGCACGAAGGCCGACAACCACATTTCTGGCACGAAGGCCGACACATCAACTAACCCGACACGAAGGCCCACACATCAATAAATCCGGCATGAAGGCCAGGAAGTCATGCATGGAGTACTGATACCAAACATACATTCTGAAGTTCTTCTTTGTAGCTCGGTCGTAAGTCCATACGCCTTCATTCCAAGCCTTGATCAATTCATCATAAACATGCTGCATGTACACACCCATTTGGTTTCCTAGGTGTTTAGGAATTATCAACGTCAAGAATATGTTTTGCCATTGAAGTAGGGCCCGGGGGCGAGATTGAGGGGAATAGCGAACACGGGCCAACAAGTGTATGGGGCCGACATCATTCCATAAGGATTGAACCCATCCGTTGCCAGCGCAACACGTACATTACGGACCTCTTCATCTTTGCCACGATGGTTGCCATTAAAGCTTTTCCATGCTTCACCATCTGCTGGATGTACCATCTTGTCAGGATTGTATCGAACGCCATTCTTGTGCCATGTCATCTGTTTCGCAGACTCCTCGGACATGAATAGCCGTTGGAGCCTCGGTATGATTGGAAGGTGTCTTAGGACTTTCATGGGGATGTCCTCATTCTGCTCCTTCTTTCCATCACCTTTGTCTACCTCCACATACCTAGAGGATTTACACTTTGGACAGTACTTTGCATCCTTATGTTTTCCCTAAATAGGACGCACCCCTTCGAACAACAATGTATATGCTCATACGGCATCTTCAGTGCTCGAAGGAGTCTCGTTGACTCGTACAAGCTACTCGGCAGATGATGACCCTCCGGAAGCAGCCCCCCAATACTTGCCATCATAGCATCGAAGCAGGCTCGAGTCATGTTGTGCTGGGACTTCAACCCCAGTAGGCGGCCAATGGCATCCAGTTGAGAAACCGTTGTATTCTCATGTAGGACCTTCTGTGCCAAATCCAACATGGCCAAGAATGCCTTAGCGCTTGGCTCTGGCTCCTCCTCCTCATCCTCCTGCTCGTCCTCCATAGGCCTTTCAGCAAATGTCGCATCCTCATAGTCACCTAACCATCCTGGTACCCCGCCATCACCGTCAAATGCCTCCAAGCGTCGTCTCACGACCTCCTCTCTAGGACGATAGGATTCACCATGGGACACCCACCGGGTATAGTTTAGCATAAATCCATACTTGCAAAGATGCTGCACCATGACTTCCTTTGTTTTTCTTTTCTTGTTTTCACATTGGCTGCAGGGACAGAACGTGTCTCTCGCCCCCTTAGCTGCCTTAAATGCATGGTCCAAGAATTTCTCGATCTTATCCATCCATTCACGGGTGATTTGAGCCTGACTTGGGCGTCCCATGTACATCCACTCACGGTTATCCATCCTCTAGCATATACACATAACAGAGTAATATAACCATCAGTTGCATCTGCCCGGTGTGCCTACTGTCTAATAGGTGAGGATAGGTCCTAATCCCACCCGCGGATGCGTAGATGAGCTTAGTTTCTATGCTCTACTCTGATCCGAGATAGAATTTCGGCAGCACCTCCCCACTGTTCTCCCGATACACGTCCTGGAAGGGAGAGTGTGTATCCGGAGAACAACAGTGAGGTGGTGCCCAAACTCCGTCTCGGATCCTAGCAGAACATGGAAACTAACCCATCTACGCATCTGCGGGCTGTCTAAAAAGCGTGGACAATCTGAAACAGATACGGCCATAGATATGCAGAGATCCGCATACCTCCAACCGTATCTGTTTTGGATGGGAGACGCCTAACTAGGCTACACCGATCTACGTACTACAACGGTAAGGAAGAGAGCTTAATTATACCTAGGGTGGCGGTGGAGACAGGCTAGCGGCGCAGTGGCGAGTCGGTGCAGTGGCGAGTCGGCGCTGTGCAGGCAGGACCGCAACGCCGACGAAGACGATCAAGGTCGCCGAGGTGCTCCGGGTCCCCTCCGACAGGTCCTGCTATGCAAAAGAAGAAAAACATCACTAAAAGTTAAAAATTTTGGCAGAACCTCCCCTACCCGGGGAGGTTTCCAAAACCTGCAAGAAAAACCGTCGGCACGATGGCCGACGTCCACATTTGGGGCACGATGGCCAACACAACCACAAACCCGGCACGAAGGCCGTCAACGACATAAACGGCGCGATGGCCGACAACCCTGCGGCTTTACCTTTTCCTCCGGCGAGGGCGGGGATGACGGCGTGGACGACGTGGACGAACGGCGTGGACGATGTGGACGAACGTTCATCCCCTCCACCTCGGCTTCCTCCCCCTCTCCCCTTCTCCTCCTCCTTCTTCCTCCTTTTTCTTCTCCTTCCTCCTCCTTTTTCTTCCTTCTTCTTCCTTCTTCTTCTCCTTCTTCCTCCTTTTTCTTCCTTCTTCTTCTTCCTTCTTCCTTTTTCTTCCTCCTCCTTCCTCCTTCCTCTTCCTGCTACCTTCTTCCTCATTCCTCCAGGGCACAAGGGCTCTTGGCCACTTCCTGGACCGCTTCGGGCAAAGGGCGGGCGGGCAGGGGCCATGCGGGCGCCGAGCAGCCAGGGCGGCCCGGAACCGGTGGCCGGAGGCCGACCAGTAGGGGGGGCGGCGTCGGGCCGGGCGCTTGGCGGGCGGGCGAGGCGAGGGGCGGGGCACCCCGGATCCGGTGGTCGGCCGGGTGGGGGGGGCGGCGCCATGGGCGGGCAGGGCCGAGCCAGCCGGGCGAGCGGGGTTCATGGGTCGGGGTCAAGGGGTGGCGGCGGCAGGGGCGGGGGCCGGGTGGAGCGGGCGGGCGGGTGGGCGCGGGCGAAGCGGGGCGGCGAATCGAATGGCGGCGCTGGAGGTGTGTCGTGTGGAGTGAGTGAGTGAGTGTGTGGGCCGGCCCACACATTTAGTTAGGGTTTCCCCCTTTGCCGAGTGCTGGGTTGGGCCGGCACTCGGCAAAGGCTTTTGTTTTTTTAAAAAAAATTATTTGCCGAGTGCCACTTCCTGACATTCGGCAAAAGGAAGGCCCTCTTTGCCGAGTCCTAGGGCCGGCACTCGGCAATTTTTTTTTGTTTTTTGCCCCATTATTTTTTGTAGCCTTAATATATTATTTAAAACTCTATGTTCAAATTTGGCACAATTTTGACTTTTTTTCTATATTTCGTTAGTTTTTTTTGTTTCGTTGAATTTTATGGAATATTTCAAATTTGAACTGCAGGTGTATGGAATAATCGAATTTGGTCGTTCAAAATATGATATTCATGATATTTGATATATGTTGAGGCCGTATCTAGGAACTCACATGAAATTTCGAGCATCTTGTTGACGTAACATGACGAGGTACCTGGGGGAAAAGTGTATTTAAATTATATAAAATCCGAACGAAGTCCAAAAATGACGAAACTTGTCGGGGCGTCGTGTTATCACATGTAGAGTCTATGATAAAAAATTGAGAAGGTTTTGAGCAAGTTGCGACGTCGGATGCCTAAAACCCAGACATCTCCACATGTGATCACATGTGGAGATGTCTGGGTTTTAGACAGCCGACGTCGCAACTTGCTCGAAACCTTCTCAATTTTTTACCATAGACTCTACATGCGATCGTAAATTTTTAGCCGAAACAGTATTTTTCTCTCACATGAACCGGCCAGCAGACCAGCAACCGAACAGGCTGTAAAGGTGCGACGAGCCATGCGTGCGTGTTCACGCATGGGTACGTGTGTGGGCCATTCCCAAACTCCTAAATATGCTAATTGTTGGGCCTCGCTAATCGGGCCTGTACAATTTTAGGGTTGTGGGTGAGGAGATGTGCCCATCAAATCCGTGCACGGTGCATGTCGTTGTCTAGGTGCGTTTGGTTTCGAGACGATGTTGGATCTAATATTGTTTTTTAGTAAAATGCACGCATCCATAAACTTTTGTTAGGGTGTCGTAGAGGTCCATCAATTTTAAAAATATATTTTTAGATCTATAAATTTTTAAAATAGTTCGTTACCCATATCCATTTATTTAACCTTAAATTCAACGTACATTTATAGAAACCCCTCACCTTTCTTTTATCTTCTACGCGCTCACACCTTTGTGCTCAACTGTCAACGAACCAAGGAGTGAAGAACGGCGCACGCCAGCAGCTGAGCACACGCGGCCGAGTAGCCTGGCTTCTGATTCCGGCAATCTCCATGGACAAGACAAATGCCACGAACACACTGTAGCCGCGTAGCCTGGCCTAAAAAAGGAGCTGCTTGACCTGCGTTTTGCACAGGGCCGGCCGGCTGGGCTAACCCCAAAGCTCAGGTCAACGAGCTGCTTGTCTTGGGGACAGCAACTGATACAGTGATACCTTTGCTGTGCCATGAAAAGAATTGAAAAGTAGTAAGTACAATTTTTCAAAGAAAAAAAAAGAATTGAAAGGCCCTCACGCCCAGCCTCCTCCACGTCAGCTCCTCCGCGTCCAGCACCATCTACCAGTACCACCACGAGGACGGCGAGGACAGCGACACCAGCACCGACGGCGGCAACGACTCGAACGGCGCCGGCGAGGATGAGGACGTTGAGGCGCTCGACGAGGCCATGCAGGCGGAGCAGCTGCTGCCCAGCGGCGACTTCTACCAGGGCGACCTGCGCGGGGACCTCCCACACGGCGCGGGCAAGTTCCTGTGGACCGACGGCAGCATGTACGAGGGCGCCTGCACCGCGGCCGCGCGTCGGGCCACGGCAAGTTCTCCTGGACCTCCGGTGCCACCTACGAGGGCGACTTCGCCGGTGGGTACATGCACGGCAAGGGCACCTACATCGGCGAGTTCGGGGACACCTTCGCGGGGCTTTGGGCCAACAACGTCTGCCACAGTCGGGGCACACAGGCGTACGCCAACGGCGATGTCTATGATGGCCACTGGCGCGACGGCCTGCAGGACGGCTACAGTCGCTACTCTGGCACCACGGCCACGAGTACATCGGCACCTGGAGGGCCGACGACATGCACGGCTGCGGGACCGTCATCTGGCTGACGGCGACCGCTACGACGGCGCGTGGGAGGACACCAGGCCCAAGGGCCAGGGCACGTTCCGGTGGGCCGACGGCGGGATGTACATCGGCACCTGGTCTACTACCCGCCGTCCGGTGGCCCCGCCGTGCCCGTGCCCCGCGAGCCCTGCGACCCCATCACGGCGCTGCTCCAGGAGCTGGAGGTGTGCAAGGGCAAGACGCCATCGCTGATGCCAGTCGCAGAAGATCCTGACGTGGCCTGGGGTGGAGGCCATGCAGAAGAAGTCGGTGTGGCGGCCGCCCAAGGTGAGCCTTGACCAAGGGAGGAGGTTCAGTGTGAGCAGGAGGAGCAGCGCGTCGCTGGACCTGGACATCCTGCAGGCCGCCGCCGAGGGTGGCGAGAGTGAGGAGGCGCGCACGGACAGGTCATGCCTGCAGACGTTGTCGTGCATGCGCACGCCGCCGAGGCCGAGGAAGAAGCAGGGGGAGACCATCTCCAAGGGACACAGGAACTACGAGCTCAGCTTGGCATCAGGTGTTTAAGTGTTCTACATATTATGTCGCCACGGGCATCACGAGCACAAGAGGGTGAGCGCAAGAGCGTGCTTCGCTGCGGCGCCCTCGCCACGGTGGCGGGCTCGGCTTCACGTGCTCGCGCCGCACTCGGTAGGGGGTTTTCTGTAAATGTACGTTGAATTTAAGGTTAAATAAATATGTATGGACATGTAGTGAACCATTTTAAAAGTTCATGGACCAAAAAATACAGTTTCAAAGTTAATGGACATATATGACACCCCAACAAAAATTAATGGACCTCCGATGTATTTTACTCTTGTTTTTTTTAGATAGGTTGAACCTATTTCTTACTAGAACATCTCAAGAGTACCCTATTTTTCTTCCCGGTCCTTAGAGCATCTTGGAGAGCACCATATTTTCTTTCCCAATCCTTGGTGTTTAGCAAAATTAGAAAAAAACCCTCTCCAACAACTCCTAATCCATGCTACTAAAACTTACGCACTTGGAAAATCCTCCCCGTTGCGCGTAACTTTACGCGTACTCGCGGTCGCGCGGATACTGTTTCCTCGTGCGTATGGGTCGGTCAATCTAAAGGTGCAAGGGTGTGGGAAAGAATAAAGAGTAGAAAAAGGTTCCTGATACAAATGTGTGAAAGACAAAGAAATATATAAAAGTGGTTACGATAATTTAGAAATAGTATATGATTCCTGATATAAAATTGTCTTCTATATTTTAAGAGTGGATTATTAAAAACTTTTGGAGATGACCTTCTTTTTATCCCTTCTAATATATTTTTAGGAGTTACAAAACTACATGTTTTGGGAGGAAAAAATAGGATAATCTTGGAGATGCTCTTAGTTTTTAGCAAGATGAGAAAAAAGCCCTCTCCAACAACTCCTCCTGCTCCTAAAATTTAAGCACTTGAGATCCTCCCTCGTTGCGTGTAACTTTGCGCATAGTCACGGTCGTGCGGATGCTGCTTTCCCAGGTCGGTCAATCTAAAGGTGGAAGGGTGTGAGAAAGAATAAGGAATAGGAAAAGATTTCTGATGCAAATATACGAGAGAGAAAGAATATATAAAAGTAGTTACGATAATTTAGAAATAGTACAAGATTCGTGATATAAAATTGTCTTCTATATTTTAGAACTGGATTATTAAAAAAATCTTGGAGATGGCCTTTTTTCTCTTCCAATATTTTTTTAGAGTTGTAAAACTGTATATTTTTTGGAGGAAAAAATAGGATACTCTTAGAGGTGTTCTTAGGTTAAGGTTTACGTTTATTCTATTTTTTGTTTGGAGTGTCAGGTCAGAAGAAATTAGGACATTTGACATGCAGGGCCCGCAGACCATTCTCTGAGCCTCTCTTGTTCGTCGCCATCTTCTCGCTCCTCGCCACATGCTATGTCCAATCGCCGCCACTGGTTCTCAGTGCCTGCGTGTCCGCCATTGCTGGTCCTCCACGAGGTGGCTCCTCAGCACCCATGTGACCACCACCGGTAGCTCCTTTACGCGCACGATCATCGCCATAGCTTCTTTTGACGCACGATCATTGGGCTCGCGCGGCAGCCACGGTAGCCATTTCTCTGTGCGCGCGTGGCCATCGCCGTTGCATCTCTGCGTGGCCACTCCTCTGTGGCCGCGCTCCCACTCCGCCGCCACCATATCTGTGTGCGGGCACTGCTCGGTGCTCGCCCGACTGCCTCCGCCACTCCTCCACTGTTGAAGTGGGTTCTTAACTGTGTTCGTTCGGTTTCTCTGATTCGAAGGGACAGAGTGAACCCACATCTAGAGATAATATTCTCTTTATGAGATGTTCCCAACCAACGGTATCTGAACACCAAACACTCTAAAAATGGGTTCAATCTATCCCAACCTAGTTTAACCCTAGAACCAAATACACGCTTATGTCTTGGTTTTCTCTGGTCTTTTATTCCGTCCCGTTAAAAACAAATGATGTGTCAAAACTCAAGCATTTATAGAATTTTATTAAAATGGATCGAGAAGGAAATATAGCACAACTATTATTCAAGACTGCACTTGTATCACTTTTTTCAGATTCAACATATACAAACAAACACACGGTTAAAGTTTTAAATAGTTTGACTTCAAACCTTATCAAAGTGTCACTTCCTTTTGATCGACACGAGGGATCACTACCTTACTTTCAGTTTCTGAGTCTTAACCCAGCACTTGCTCGCTACCACGTTAGTAGGAGGGGACTCAACATGTAGTTTGCCAACGATAAGCTTTTAAATGGTTTCTTTTGGGTTGTATGTAGCCAAAGTTCTTTGAACTTTCGTGAATACTAACATAAGGTGCTCATATTTTTAACTAAGTATTATTTCATTGTGGTAAGCTCGTCAAGTGTATAATAATAATAATATGATGACTTTATCAATCATAAGATCTTTTAACCTAATTTATTAAAGGTGTTTATAGAGAGATTTGTTAGAACTAATTAGTGTTAATCATAGGATCTTAATCCCCAAGCTTTGCTGTAGATTATTACTTAGATTAGCACTTAATCATACTTAGATTTGCACTAACCCATAGATTGGGGATGCCCAGAGGGCTATCGATGAAGTCCCCATGCCTGCGTGATGCAGGCGCAGTGTCGATCTTCTTCTCCAAGGGCGTCAATGGCTAGGATGCTGGCACAGGGGTGGCCAGTGGCTGGCTAGTCTTCAGGAGATGTAGCGAGCTTACCTTGACCGATAGGTGGTTAGGGTGGTTAATCATAGTCTTAGCCTTAATTAATTAGGTATCGTGACCCCTTATAGCTTTGGAACCCTTGGACTAGACCAGTGAACCTTAGATCTGTCAAGTGCACCGATCATGGACTGGTAGTGGGCCCTTAAGCCCTTAATGACTTGGTCAGTCATTTGGCTAAGTCGAGATCATTTCAATATCTCTGCTTCGATCGAATGACTTAGTAATTTTATTATTAGTCCTATTCTCAATAGAACAATATACTAAGATGAAAAATCATAACACCCAGCTAAGTACCATTAGATCAAACATCTATAGTCGACCACTCTACATTAAATAGAACAATTACTTATTAGAGAGAGAGAGCTTATGGGGAGATAACACTATGTATCTTAAAACCACTCTTCAATAAACCAATATACCAAGATGCAAAGATTGCAACAATCAATTAAGCACTGATGAAGCCAATCACTATAGTGCACCATCCATATATGAGAATAGCTCATTCTTAGTCTTATGATGGCCTTTTTACAGTCCTATTGTGCAATTTGATTTGCCAGTTCTAGCGCCAACGGATCGTGTGACTTGTTATGTTTCCTGAGATTAAAAACTTTTTTTTGCTTTTTTTTTACCCAAATTTACGATTTCAGACAATGATGCAACCGCATATACAAATCGATTTATAGAGGTGGCTAGAGAACCACCTCTACAAGCAATTTGTATAGACGGAAGAGCAGAGACGACTGGGGCAATCGCCTCTGTAAAGGCATCCTAGCTACCTCTAAAAATAAATTATGTAGCAATGTAACAGTCATCCTTCACTGTGATTAGCTAAATCTAACGACATGTGTTTACTAAAAATACATTGATCAAGGATATTAAGTAGGCTCCATTTTTAGTTATTTATTAGTATATGCTATTTACATGATTGGACTTAGCCATCATGTTTGCTACAAGCCAAGCAACTTCACAAATAAGGTTCTTAATAAAATATAAAAATTAATAAAGGATGCATTTTTACTTACATTACATGAGTTCCAAAACAACATAAAACATATGTATATGTTACCATCTCTTCTACAGAGTTGCTCCGGTGTCTTGCTCCTTACCCTTTCCAGGTTGTAATTTGTCATCTACATCTCTTCGAGTTAGTTTTCATTTCTTGGTCGTGGTGTTTAGATAACAACCAACAAATTCAATTTCGTATCTGTTGTTTACTATTTACCTTTTACTCAAATGAGAACCATTATTTATATCACTAGGTTGCTTCAGAAGGTAACTTGATTATTTTCATGCACTATGGTTTTGTATTTAGAGTTTCCTTGTATTGTCTAGTGGAGGAGTTGTCCATATGCTCCCTTCCCATAGATCTACTGTTTTTGTTTTTAACCCACTAAATTCATGTGTTATTGATTTTTTTTTGGTCTTTGTCCTCTTCAAGGCAATATCCATGCAAACGAGAGACGACTATGGTTGCGCCTCCAATAGAACTATATATGATATCTAGCTCCACTCTATGGACCATTGGTTCTACTTTCTTTTTTTCCTTTTGTTGTTTAGATGGTAACACTTGGGCCAGAGAAAAGAAGCAAAAAATGCTAGTGAGTTCTTAAATTCCAATTGTGATTTGCCTGTGCTGATACTGATGATATCTTAACATTCATGGCTTCTAATCCAGTAATGCTGTAGGTTGTTTCCCATGTGGCTCTTCCTCTTAATATATTCCATGTGGTACAACCTACGTTGGTAAGGTTCTCCAAGATCCAAGAACAAAGACACTCATATAAACAATAAAAAATTGCACTTTTATCATATATCATAATCATTAGAGAAACAAATAGTAGAAGCTAAATAAACTCTTTATAGCCAAAGATTCATGGGGTAGCATTAACGGTTCTTCTAAAAGTACATTTCAGAGTTTTTATATCCCATAAATCAGTTATAGAGCTTGCTTTCTCATTAAGAAACTAGAGGGGTTGTTTCCCATGTGGCTCTTCCTCTTAATATATTCCATGTGGTACAACCTACGTTGGTAAGGTTCTCCAAGATCCAAGAACAAAGACACTCATATAAACAATAAAAAATTGCACTTTTATCATATATCATCATCATTAGAGAAACAAATAGTAGAAGCTAAATAAACTCTTTATAGCCAAAGATTCATGGGGTAGCATTAACGGTTCTTCTAAAAGTACATTTCAGAGTTTTTATATCCCATAAATCAGTTATAGAGCTTGCTTTCTCATTAAGAAACTAGAGGTGCCGAACGAATTATCCTCCTAAAATCTCACCTTTTTCCTATTCCCTATCTTCAGTTTAGCCGCTTTTGTGGCCCACAAAACCTTTTGAAGAACTGAGAAAACTATTGACTTTACTTGTGAAGATGTTAGGATTATTGGTTCTATATTTGTGATCAATAACATGTTTCCATAACCTACCATCATCTACCAAGAACCTTTTGAGCCAGGAACCTAAGAGGCATAGAATCAGATCTCTTAGATTCGGTACTCCTGAACCACCATATTCCTTTCGCATAGTTACACTATCCTAATTTGCAAGGTGATATTTGCTATGTCCATGAGGTCATCCCAAAGACAATTGACCGTTTGGGTATTAATCATTCTAATAATAGCCTACTTATGAAACTTAATAAAAGATAAAAGGTCGACTGGGCTACTAGCCGAGCATGGGAAAGGAGTCTACCCCTCCACCCTGCTATCCTTTTCAGAATATTGTCAATCGAAGGCTGAATATCCTCTCTTCCAAGTTCCTCATAGTGTAGATGGGCCCCTAAATATTTTAAAGGGAAACTACCTACGGGACAACAAAAATGATGTGCAATGCAATGCATATTATCCTCATCCAGGTTCATAGGAATAGACTCACTTTTAAAGAAATTAATTCTCATATCTGAAAGCTGTTCATACGAGGATGCAGTTGGTTTTTCAAATGACTCTCCACAGCACTAGAGAAAAGGATATTGTTTGTACTGTAAGTATAAAATCCCCTCAACTTTAAACTCAGATAATAAACCTCATGTTCACTAATATCCATGGATGATCCAATGTTTTGCCCATTAATATCCAAAACACAAAAATACCATGGTGAAGCAAATCACACCAAAATGCACCAAGTCCAATTAAAAGGAATCCAATTATTCTGGGATAGTCCAAATCCAATCATATCTCTACCTATAATCAATCAATAAGATCAGTCGTAATTGTGGATGTACTGATCACTGAATGGTGACTGCGTTGTATGAACACTTAGGGCCTCATTTCAACATAAATGGGATTGGGGAATGTGATGAAAATGAAATTATGAAAATCTTCAGACTCTTAGGCCTTGTATAATCAACCAGTCGAAGGCTTCAAAACAATCTGTTTTGAGTTTGCATTGTAGTCCTGATTGCACACTGCCAAAGACAGAACAACTGAACAAGTCCTAAAAAAACAATAAAGAAGAACTGAATAAGCTATGGCAAGTTTGCATTGCATTGCATAAAGTCCTATGTTCAGAACCTAGAAATTTTATGTATATACGTATTGGGCGCAGGCAGAAACTTACATTCGTGTTCATACAGCTCAGGGGATATAAAATAGAAAAAAGAAAATCCATATATAACATAGTCTTCTGCATTGCACATTATCCTTCCCAGAAGGAGGCAACTATTATTTACTTTATGGTTGTTTATTGGAAGGAGACCAAGTGCTTGGATCTTTACGAGAATGACTCATCAAAGGTGGAGGAGATGGCCCTGAAGAACCAGGAGGGAAGAAAGGTAACGGCGGAAACGTCCACGGGAACGACGGCGGCGGAGGCGGTGGTGGAGGTGGAGGAGGTGGCGGTGAATACAGTGATGGTAGCGGTGGGAAGTGCGGGAGAGGAGGCAGGTGTGGGAGTGGTGGCATAGGGAACGGGAATTCCGGCGGTGGCGGTGGCGGAGGCGATGGTATTGTAAAGATCGGCGGCAAATGAGGAAACGGGAACGACGGTGAAGGCGGAGGCGACGGTGGCGTCCATGGCCATGGTGGCAGTGGGAAAGGGAACGCCGGTGGTGGAGGCGACGGCGGGGTGAAGAACGGTATCGGTGGGAGCGGGAACGGGAACGCCGGCGGCGGCGGGGTGAAGAACGGTATGGGCGGGAACCACGGCCGCGGCGTGCAGAACGGGATAGGCGGCCACGGCCACGGCGGGCAGTAGAACAGGGACGTGTTCAGCGCCGCAGGCGACGCGCCGGCGCCACCGCCGTCGCACTGAGCTGGCCCCGGCTTGCTGGGGCGGTAGTAGAGCGAGTTGAGGCTGTAGAAGCAGGCGTTGGGCTCCTGGCTCGGGAAGGAGATGTGGCCGACGGTAGTGGTCACGGCCGGCACGTTGCACAGCGCGGAGGGGTTGTCCAGCACGGCCGCCCGGCAGAAGGACTCGGCGGCGGTCGCGCCAGGCGCGGCGCACTCGAAGCCGTCGATCGCCGGGATGTCCAGCTGGTAGGCGCCGTAGCTGTTGGTCACCTTCTCGGCCGTGATCTTGATCTCCTCCTTGGAATTCGAGTTCACTTTGATCATGCAGTCCAGCCGGACTTTTACACCTGAATGAAGAGAAGAAAAAGGAGGGCTGAAAAATTCAGAACATTGGACACAATAAAAGTAGGTTTAAGTCCGTGAACTGATCGATTCTTTATATTATATATCAGAATGGCTTCAGAAGTAGATTCATACAGAGATGCTAACTGCAGATGAGAAAAGCTGGTGATGCTTAGCGAAAATTTTGTAAGTGTTTAAGTTTGAATTCAAGCACGCCAAGAATTTGATAAGTACAGTTCAAAGTTGTGCTTCAACCCTGCTATAGTTAGAACTTAGAATACGCAATTGTAATTGTGTCAGTTTGGTGTTTCTGTGCCATGTAAGGCCCGCTCGTTTCACGAGGAATGGCTCTCAGGAAAAATTCCCGCCGGAATTGCTAGTTAATTTATACAGGGTTTGATTAGCTGGAAAAATTCCTGGCCTCATCCACCCCCACCGAACGAGCCCTAATTGTGTCAGTAAACGTTCCTGGTTGGGCCGAATTTTCTTGTGTTATGGACTTTGATCCTTGAAGAAACGTTACCATTTTGATTTTGTTGATCCCTGCTACTATCATTAAATTAAGCAAATCGTGCATCCTAGCTGTGTTACCTTGTTGGGTTGTGAAACCAGGACAGGGCTTGCCAGTTGTTTTGCGTATGTTTCTTCAACAATTACTGGAAAGATGGAAAGGAAAATTCTTGCTGGCAGCAAAACAATGTGTTCATGTTCGCAGCAGGAAATTATGAAGCGTGGCAGCAGGAAAAAAGAGTGTATGTGCACAAGCAATTCGCAGAAGCAGAGTATTGAAAGGATTGAAGTTCTGAAATATTGTCACATTTCTGAACGAAACATACAGTAATTGAATTCTGTAATTACAAGAAAGAACACGACACCCATTTAAAGGTATATTATGCTTCATCTCCCTAGATAAATGGGGCAGTGGAAATTGCAATGGACATGGGCAATCTGAAGGATGAAGTACCTGGCAAGAAGTAGCTGCTTTTGGAGAAGGAGCTGGAGGAGCAGGCGTCACAGAACACGGCGCCCACCACCGTGAGGTTAGCGGCGGCGCCACCACCACCATCGCCGCCCTGAGAGCTCTGGCCTTGCGCACTGCCAAGAAGAGCGGCAAACAACACCAGGATCTCCAACGCGAGAGGCAGCCCCAGCTGCAGCTGGTTCTTCATGGCGCAGCAGCGCCTCCTCAGCTTCACACAGAGCTCGTGTGAGAGCTGAGAGGAGGCTGATAGGCCTGAGCAGCTCCTGCTTTATATGCCAATTGCGCTAAGCACAGTAGCACGCCCACTTCAGCATTGTTAGCAGAGGCGTTAGTGTCAATATGCCAACCACAGCTCCCACAGATAGGTGGGCCCACTGAACATTGAGCAAGGGAAATGTGCGGCCGAGTAGTGGCATGGCATGGTGGACGTCTGAAAGAGAGGATCAGGACACATCCCTCCAACTCACAAAGAAACAAGGGCATGTGAAGGGCATCTGGACCCTTTTGCCTGCGCCGCAATTAACAAAGGGCGCCAACTCTGAATTTCGCAGGTATTCTGGGTGTCACGGGCTCGATTCTGGTGTCGTGGAAGCATCACGGTTTTGGAGCGTACCTCTACATTCGTACAGTAGCAACCAACAGTTGGAAAAGAGAGAGCGGTCCAAGGCCCCGTTTGTTTCCGCTTATAAGCAGCTCGTAGGTGAAAAAAATGAGAATCTCGCCAAACGCTTTGCTTATTTCCACCATTCTCGCTTACGTGGTAAGCCGCTTCAGAGATTTGAACTACGAGATGCGAAAAGCGAGAAGCGAGAAAATCTTCGCTTAGATTATAATCCAAGCGTGGTCAGGAGAAGTGAAAACAAACGGCCCCCAAGGATGGCTCGAGTTGATGCATACTAGTGTGCTACTCCTACCTTGCAGATGGAAGAGCTGTGGAGTTGCTATTGGGCGGGTAGAAGAGGTGGACGACAACACTGCGGGGGATTGCATTGCATTGCATTGCATGCAGAGTGAACACTGGTCATCCGTGACCTTGGCCCCTTGCGGGCTGTGGCCTGTGGCAGAGCGGCTTGTGGTTGTGGCTGTAAAATCAGGAGAGGCTGGATCGTCCGTACCCTGAAGGATCCATGGCGTCAGATGATTGGAAACAGTGGGCTGTACTTGCATTCGGTAAAAACTCGCCCACAGTTTCAGGCTACCGAGACATGGCCCATATACAGTATTACATTGACCACTTTACTAGTAGGTACATAACATCGCAATATAATGTCGAGCGTCTTAGCGGGGCTGTCCGGTGTTGGCTGCTTCCATGTGCACCTGCTGTCTTCCCTTGCGACTTGACGACGGCCGATTTAGTGTGGCCAAGATGGGTTCTCTCTCTGCCGTCGTTGGATGTGTTGTGTGAAGGCCCATGACGGTGAAGTCGGGCCGGCGATTTGGTTCGAGGCAGAGCTACTTTTGGTGTAGTCAGATCTATGGCTCATGATACTTGAACTGCTTAGTGGTGGTACATAATCGTCACGTGATAGCTTCTCCTTGGGCATCAGTGGCTTATCGTGAAGCTCGAGGGTGTGGTTATGCCATGGCCTTGTGTTAAGGTGAAGGACTCTCAATGTGTTACTGGCGGACTGTTTATGCATGTGGGTAGTGGGTAGGTGCTGATGAAAGCCTTGCCAGTGATTTTTTGACAACAACTAGAACAACAACGACGCTTTTGAGGGCGTTGTTTTTCTTCCTAGAGGTGTTTTCGTGGCACTCCATAGCCCCCGTGTCTACTAATCTTCAGGTGAAAATCTTGTCTTAGGTTATGAGATGGGCGACATCAGTGACTCTCATACCTTAGATGTCCATCTTCACATGTCGCCTCGGAGATCCAACTTCACGCAACGTCCACCGGGAGGTTTATGCAACCCTAACCTCTTAAGTAGTTGAGCTTCGATTTTGTGCAAGATATATGTTGTGCTTGTCTTCACTAGGGAAAGGTGGAAACCATGATGTTTGAATTCTGTAGCAAGTTTAGGTAGCTAAGTCGGATTAGGATGGGGACCTAAGTCTCATTCCTTTATTTTCACTACACCAGAACAATCAATCACTACCGGAGCATCATTGTCGGGTGTGCTTGGGCCAATAATACTACTAATTACTGCCGGTGGTAAGGCAAAGATCAAGAAAATTGGCGGGCGCTAAACACCTAGCAGTGATAGGTACCTGTTAACACCAAAAATTAGATCGATACAAGGGACCCTGAGTTTCGGGATTTGTTGAGAAAAGCAAAAATATCTATAGAATCGGCTAACTGAAACACTGTCATAATCGACTGAATTGTATGACGTCATTATCTCGAGAATGGGCTTTGCCAGTGGAAGATGGCTGTGATCAGAAGCGAGAAGACACGTCGGACTTCATAGAAGGGAAAGATTGAAGTCCAAGTTATCTTAATTTAGTACGTTTTTTCTACTTTTCCAAGTTTTGTAAGCTAGTCTTGTTCGACCAGGACTCATATTGAAGCCTCGGCTATAAATATCAAACCCCGGCTATTATAAGGGACATAAATCAATCAATACAAACCAGTACCTTTACCTTTTGGCTTCACGCCAACCCTAGGAGTAGGAGTAGAGTAGTAGATCTGGGCTAGTTCTTCGGGCAAGCAGGGCTGCATCGGTTCGGCCGACCTCCGGTTTGTTTGTAAGTACCGTGACGACTTGTATTGTTACTTATAAGGCTGCATCGTTTCGGCCGACCTCTTACCGGTTAGTTATCGACTTTTACCAATATTTGTAAGGCTGCATCGATTCAGCCGACCTCTTACAAATCTTGGTATGAGTTAGTTATCGATTTTGCTATAGTCAAAATTCTCAATATTTGTAGAAAAATCACCCTTTATACGATTAAGATTGGGGTAGATCGGTCTTATATCATATTAATCCATCATTTTACTAATATATTACGTTAGAATCTCGCTTTGACGATGGGTTCGGTTAGATCGACTGTTCTATCTCAATCTTGATCGTGCATAGCAAGGGGTCAAAAGCATGTTTGAACTTAAGTAAGTCAACTAGTTAACAAGATTTGATCTATAGCTCACTGTTATGGCTGCCTCGATCCTGTCGATCCCCACTGATAGCATTGTAGATTGGAAATTGTTAACTAGTAGATTTACTTATGGTCAAATATGGCTCTTGACTACTGGCTATGCTTGCAACGCTATTTAGCCGATTGCCTGCGCTTTCACGTTCATGATGCGTATCCATGATATTGTTGAAGTATGAGTAGGTTTGTTTGCTTTGAGGGTTTACTCTATTATCATTATTACGCTGCCATCGATCCGGTCGAACCCCACGGTTAATGATGATAGGCTGGGTTTGATGAGCTCATAGATTTGCTTATATTAAACGGTTGATTGATTACGTGTCATGAGTTATTTTCATACACTTCGGCTATCCAGCTGATCCTCTGGGCTTTCACGCGTGTAATATGCTTTCACGATTCTATTGAGTGTGAATAGATTTGCTTATTTTGAGGATTTGACTTGTCCTTATCATCGTAGCTACCATCGATTCGGTCGAACCTCATTGTTGATGGTGATAGATTAAATTTGATAAGTTTGTAGATTTAATCATATTCAATGGATGAGTGTTTGCGCATTATGCGACAAAATCACTGGAATCGGCTAATTAGCCGATAGCGTATGCACTGCATGTATACTGGCTCTTATGGTGTGTTGTACTTGTTTTTGTCTTAATGAACTAGTATGATGATGATCGACCCGAATGCTCTCACATATAAATCATCCATTATGTTTCTACATGTTTCATGATTATCGGCTGATAAATTCATATGATTAACACTCGATAGTTGGCGATAGCATCTATTTTTTATTATTTCATCATGAGCATGCTGAATATCGACTCTTTAGTTGATAGCCTTATTTCATTGGCTACTTAGCCGCAAATATGGAACTGTCTGGAGCAACACCGGCATGTTCCGCCTTAAATTACTGATTGTCTTTCTCCTCCTTATCAATTACAGGGTCAAATTGACTGGCAAGCCTTGGGTCTTGGATCTGACCGGTCCTTTATTGAAAGGTTTAGTTTGGTTTTGGTAAATTAATGAAACCCTAGGTACTAACCTATGTGCTCTAAGTGAATATGAGATAGGTTAAGTACATTCCAAGTGGTGGGGCAAATGAAGATCATGTAGATGGTGATGGCTATGGTGATGATCAAGTGCTCGGGCTTGGAAAAGAAGAAAGAGGAAAACAAAATGGGCTCAAGGCAAAGGTGAATTTGATAGGGCCATTTTGTTTTGGTGATCGAGACACTTAGTGAGTGTGATCACATTTAGGATAGATAGCCATACTATTAAGAGGGGTGAAACTCGTATCGAAATACGGTTATCAAAGCACCACTAGATATTCTAACACATTGCATATGCATTTAGATTCTAGTGAGTGCTAACACCCTTGAAAATGTTTGTGAAAATATACTAACACATGTGCATAAAGTGAAACACTTGGTGGTTGGCACATTTGATCAAGGGTGACGAAGTTGGTGAAGAGAAGGTGCTGTTTTGCTCTGACCGGACGCTGGTCACGAATTGACCGGACTCGATGGTGGTGCGTTCGGTCAATTATAGTGGAGTTAGCGCGTGAGGGCTCTGTCTGGCTAATAACCGAATGCTGCATAGTGTTTGTGGTCAGACACGCAGGGCTTGCATCTGGTCACAGGTGACGTACGCGTCGAGTGCGTTTGGCTAGAGGTGATCGGATGCAGGGGCGCGTCCGGTCATCGACGATCTAACGTGTCTGATCACAAAAAATCATCTCTGGATGCTTACTGGAAGTGATCTGACACCGGGAAGCCACATGGAGCAGCACGTCCGGTCGTGGCGTGGCCTTGGGGCGCGCGCATGGGATCTATTACTGATCGGCATGTCCGATCTTGCGACTGGCGTGTTCGGTCATCATTTAACCATGCGGGGAAGGCTGGTGACCGTTGGGATCATGCGGTCGAGGTTGAATCATGAGGACACGTGGATGGCATCCAGCGACTGGACATTGGGGGATGATCGTCTGGTCGGTTGGACCTACGTGTACGGTAGCCCTGTGTTTGCTAACAGTGGGGAGCCAAAGGCTCTATTTCGTGAGGCCTTCTATTTAAGCCCCATGGCCAGCTCTTGCTTACTATG